GCCTCCTGTCTGCCTGCTTTTTGTTTTACAAATGTCTTGGGTTTTCAACTTTCTTTCTCCTTATATCCCTTTGAAACACTTGTTTGCTGATTTTGGTGACCGTCTTTCCTGGCATCCCCTTGCCTCCTGGTTTGGAATTGAGGTTTGCAGGTGGCTCTGGAGTTGGAGCTTGCTGTGTTTCACTGTGCGTTCTTCCTCCCTCTCTGTTCCCCCCTCTCTGTCGCCGTGGTGTTGCCTCCTTTCTGACCCAGTGGCCCCAGTTAACGACCAAGTCTACTACTGATGGTTCTGGCTTCTCTCGGGGGCAGAGACTCTGGCAAGGTGCTGGCATTGCCCTTGACCTGCCCACCTGGCCAGGTCTGCTTCCTTCTCCCTCCCTTGGACGGCAGCTTGTGGCCGGTGGCCGCCCAGGCCATGGCCATTGCTTCCCTTCAGTCTCATTTCACAGGTAGGGGGGTGCTCTCTGGTCCCACATAGGGGGCCTGGCTTTGTCCCTACCTGACTTGGGGTGCTTTTACTCCCCATTATGTCAAAAGGAGCCAAAATGGCCAGTTTTCGTCTTCTGCTCTCAGGCCCAGAGCCCCATGCCCCAGCCTCACCTACCCCCACTCACAGGTTTGTGTCCTGTGCTGTTTTTTTTTTTCCTTATTGAAGTATAGTTGATTTACAATGTTGTGGTGTACTTTCAAGTGTACGGCAAATTGATTCAGATAGATAGATAGATAGATTCCTTTTCAGATGCTTTTCCATTATAGGTTATTACAAGATACTGAATGTAGTTCCCTGTGCTTTAACAGTAGGTCCCTGTGGGTTACCTATTTTATATATAGTAGTGTGTATACATGTGTCCTGTGCTGTTCATTGAACACTGGGATGTTTTACATCCACGTGTTCCCGTGCCTTTTTTGGTTTTCTCTTATTTCTAGTCTGTCTTTACTCAGCATTTGAGAACAGAAGATCCTGAAAGGATCGTCCTACAAAGCCGTCTTGACTTAGGTATTTCCCTGAAATTGTGTTTCAAAAGAAAATTAAAATCAAGGAAGATTCAAAGTTCTCATGAATGTTTCCTTTGGCACTTAAAATAATAGTCCCAGGCAACCAAGAGAAAGGAACAGGAAGCCACACTGTGATGACAGCATCTTTATGTGATTTTTCCCAGACCAAAGGCACACGGGGTGGACAAGGAAAGAGCCCGATGCTGGGGCCTCATCTAAGCATCTACGTTAACTCAGTGCATGATCTTGGCTGCCAGTTATTGAGCTCCTCCTCTCTCGCTGTTAGACTGAGACCTCCCCCACCGATTCTGAAAGCCTGTGGTTCTCTAACCAAAGGGCAGCATAGCCCAGTGTCCTGTGATCCAGAAGCAGTGTCCCAAGTGTTCCCTTCTTACCTACTCCCACCCTCAAATGACTGCCTGGCCACCACCTCCAGGGCTGCCATTCCAGAAATTACAGCACTTAACAAAGTCTGTTTGGGGTCACAGAGAGAAATTTTGCTCAAATGCTACTTAGGCTTTTCATTTTTCTTCTTCCTTTCCCTCTGACCCAAATTTGAATTCCTAACTAACGTTACAGAAAGTCCCAGTTGGGAGGTAAAGGGGAATAGGGGTGACTGTCTCTATTCCACAGAGGGAGACGTTGCAGCCAGCAAAGTTTCAGGAACTTGCACGAGGTCACCCAGCAAGTGGATAAGGCAGGACTTTTGAAGGCAGGTCCATCTGCTTCCATAGCTGTCCTGCCTCAGCATAGCGTGCCATTCCTGGGCAGATGAAGGGTGGTCCTCTGAGCAGCTGCCATAGTAACAAGGGTCTCTATAGTATCTCTCCATCCCCATTGATGGCTCTCAGAGCAATTCCTCAGTCAGAAAGCTGCAGGTGACCACGGGTACTTACCAGCAACTCTAGCACCCACCCAGGTTTAGGGCCAACTTTTCTACAAATATCCCACCAAATCTTTTCAATTGGGGCCTTTATTGAAATCCCGGGGCACAGTTTTTGCAGATCAAGTCAAGATCTCTTTCTCCACTCGCCATCACTTAACTCTCAGGGCACTGTTACAACCTCAGAGCAAAGCTCCTCTGCCAAGACAAATAGGTCTCTACTTTCTGTTGTTTTCTTGACTTCATAATTCTTGGCTTCGGGCAAAACTGCGAAGCTGGCAGCTTTCATCCCCACCACCCCTGCTGGCTCTGCTCTGCACCCTTTCCTCCCTTCAGAGGCCCTGTCACCCTCACCCCTGCTCCTCAGTCGCACCTCCTCCTCACTCAAAGCTGCTCACACCAGAAAGACAGAGATTTGGGCATGGCAGCAAAAAGGGGACTCTGTCCCAGGGGATTTCCATATTGAAGAGAGTGCATTCTTTAAGCATGCACCTGTCCACCTGTGCGCACATGCGCGCATACACACACACACACACACACACACACACACAAGGTTTATTGTTTTATGATTAGATAATTGACACATGTACATCACAGAAAATGTGAAAAGTACAAAAAATATAAAGAAGAAAGTCAAAACCTGTAATCCAACCACCCAGACAAACCTCCATTAACTCTTTATTTCCTTCCAGTTCTTTGTCTTAATGTATATGCGTATATGCATGCATGGATATATCATACATATATACATTCTAGGGCCTGTTTCAACGCTATCTTGTTGCATTGCTGTGACTGCCAGTTCTCCCTCAGTACCACAGTGCTGACATTATTATTGTTTTATAATCAACTTTAATCCCTGATGGCTCGAATTCTCCATCATCACTTTTTTAAAACATTTTAAAAATCACTCTTAACTCTTTCTTCTTCCTGGTGAATTTTTAATTTATTTATTTATTTTTGGCTGCATTAGGTCTTTGTTGCTGCACGCAGGCTTCTACTCTTTGTTGCTGCACACGGGCTTTTCTCTAGTTGCGGCGAGCGGGGGCTCCTCTTCGTTGCGGTGCGCGGCCTTCTCATTGGGGGGCTTCTCTTGTTGCGGAGCACATGCTCTAAGCACGCGTGCTTCAGTAGTTGTGGCACAGAAGCTTGGTTGTTGTGACTCGTGGGCTCTAGAGCGCAGGCTCAGTAGTTGTGATGCACGGACCTAGTTGTTCGGCGGCATGTGGGATCTTCCCGGACCAGGGCTCGAACCCATGTCCCCTGCATTGACAGGTGGATTCTTAACCACAGTACCACCAGGGAAGTCCCCTGGTGAATTTTAGATTCATTGTGATAAATAAGCCATTGCTTGTTGGGTTGCAAGTTTATTGCACTTATAAATTAATTGGGTAAAATTGGCATTTTTACAACATTCGAATTTTCCGTCCAGAAATATTGTATGTCAGACCTAGATCTTCTTTAATATGTTACAGTAAAGTGAAAAGATTTCCTTCAGATGGGTCCTACATGTTCTTTTTGAGGTTTCTTAATATTTTTAATTTTTTGTTGGAAATTGGGATCTTTCTTCTTTACATGCTTCTGATTTGAATTATTGACTTGGAAAACTTATCCTGCATCTAACCCTTACTCTTTAAATAATTCTAATACTTTATCAATTGACTCCCTCCTTTTCCCAGGAAGATAATTATACCATCTGCAAATAATAATTTTATCTTCTCCTTCATATGTATAATTTTGTGAGTCACTGTACAACTTTAAGAACCATGTTAAATAATATCAGTAAAATCAGTGATTTTTCTTAATTTACTATGGATTATTTCAATCGATTAAGGAACTATTTTTCTAATCTTAGTTTTTAGTCTTTTTTTTTTTTTTTTTTTTTTTTGCGGTACGCGGGCCTCTCACTGTTGTGGCCTCTTCCGTTGCAGAGCACAGGCTCCAGCGTGCAGGCTCAGCGGCCATGGCTCACGGGCCCAGCCGCTCCGCGGCATGTGGGATCTTCCCGGACCGGGGCACGACCCCATGTCTCCTGCATCTGCAGGCGGACTTTCAACCACTGCGCCACCAGGGAAGCCCAGTTTTTAGTCTTTTAAATCGAGATTGGATATTGAAACTTCTCAGATATATTTTCATAATATGTTGAGATTATCATATTTTTCTTACTTTACTTGTTAATATTAGAAATTACCGTTATAATTTCCTAGCACTAAAGTAATCTTTATATTTCTAGGATCACACCTACTTTATCCTGGAGAATTTTTTTTTTTTTTTTTTTTTTTTTTTGCGGTTATGTGGGCCTCTCACTGTTGTGGCCTCTCCCGTTGGGATCTTCCCAGACCAGGGCACGAACCCATGTCCCCTGCATCGGCAGGCAGACTCTCAACCACTGTGCCACCAGGGAAGCCCTTCCTGGAGAAATTTTTTAATGTACTCTTGAATTTGATTCATTGATGTTCTATTTAGGATTTGTACAGCTGCCATATGAACAAGTGAGATTAGTTTACAGCAGCGTGTCCCAAAGTCTGTTCTATGGAACACTATTGCTATGAATTGTGCTACAGAAAAAGGAAGAGAAGGGAAGTCCTGTGTTAAAACTAATTTAGAAAATACTACATATCCCTCTTGGAGATTCACAAGGTATATTCCCATTTTAAGATTCTGAGACAAGCTGGGGTTAAAAGGAGAAAAAAGAGAGAAACTTGGGTTTAAATTCGCATAACCCAGCATTTCCCAAACTGATTGACCATACGAATCCCTATCTGACATAATTCCTATTAACATCTTGCAGAGCTCATGTCTGAGGCATGCACTTTGGAAACTGTCTTTGTCAGTGTTGACACTGGTTTCGCTGGAAACCTCTTCCATCAGAAGTTCTAATCAAAGGCTTATAATCAATTAAACTCTGTTGCTGCTACCCTACACAATAAGATACTTATTGTTTCTTCCAATTAAAGTTGATGCCTTTCAGTTTCATGATTCTGAGACATTGTCTCACTCCACTGGGTCCCTTTGGGATCTCAAGGATGCAGAAAAACTCAACCTTCAGAAGGATCCAGTTCGGGGTTGTCTTTATTTAACCTTCCCTCCAAGCTTGACTGGTTCTTCCTTGATCTTCTCCTCAGTTCACGGGACTACATGGTCTGGGCCCTCCGCCAGTGATGTCTTCACTCCAAAGCAGCCTGACTCTTCAACTCAAGTGACCTTATGTGGCCTAGGTAACTTTTCCTCCATCCCTTGTCCTGCATCCTGAAACCGTCTATTTCCACTCACCATCCCCTTTGCTCTCTCTTCTCCTCCCAACTCCAAAATCCCACTTTTTCTATAAATACCCAAGAGATACTCAAGACTGAGAAACACATAATCTTAGTTGCTAAAAAGTTCCCAGAAGCAAAACCCTTCTAGACGTTGCGGGGGATAGATAGATTTACTGTATGGCCTCTGCCCTTCGGCAGCTCTGATTCTTGTGCTGGGGATGAACAAGTATCAAATCATTGCAGCGAACCTTTTGCCCAGTGCCTGGCATAAGAAGAGCTCAGTAGCCATTGACTAACATCACACTGAATAGAAAGTGATAAGTGCCTTATAGAGTTATGTGTATGGTGTGTGGTTAATCTTCTGAAGAATTCACAGAGCAGTGACATTTGAAAAGGGTTTAAAAGGATGAATAGGAGCTCATGTGGTAGAGCAAGGAGGCAATGAAACACTTTGCAGCTGAATCAGACTTTCCAAAACTCTTTCACATACCAACCCCACTTGATCGTCACGACACTGTGAGGTAAACTTCATTGTTGCTAAACCCATTTTTCTATTGAGGAGGTTAAGGATCACTTGCAGCAATGAGCTTTCCCAAATCAAAAGATTTCAGGAATACATGAGTAGCTGTCCTAGCACTCTGATAAGAAACAGCCATTCTTAAGAGGTGTTGAGGTCCCAGGAAAACAAGGCAGGTGTGGTCCCTGTCGTCATGGAGCTCATAGGCTAGATTCACAGAACTTCAGGGCTGCAAATTCTCTCCATGTGGAGGGGTTTTTTTGTTTTGTTTTTTTCTTTTTGCGGTACGCGGGCCTCTCACTGTTGTGGCGTCTCCCGTTGTGGAGCACAGGCTCCAGACGCGCCGGCTCAGCGGCCACGGCTCCCGGGTCCAGCCGCTCCGCGGCATGTGGGATCTTCCCGGACCGGGGCACGAACCCGTGTCCCGTGCATCGGCAGGAGGACTCTCAACCACTGCGCCACCAGGGAAGTCCCATGTGGAGGTCTTTAGCTCAGCAATTAGAGAGAGAGCTGAAGAAATTGCTTTTTTCCACAGACTGAAGCTGGGCCCACCTTTAGCCTAGGAGTAAATGGTGCAGCAGCCAGAGTGTGAGGCCGGCAGACACCCTCAAGATGGGGGTAGGCAGGGGGCGGGGGGCACCCCTGGCTTACATCTGAACCTCCTGGGGAGCCATAAAGAATACTGGTGCCAGGTGTGCCCTGGACCGCTGAAGTCAGAAGCTGGGTTTTGGTGGGAGGGGGTAGTCATGGGTACGTTTAAGTGTCCCACTTGATTGTAATGTGCAACCAGAGTTATAAACCAGTGTTCTGATAGAAAGGTTGGGGCAGTATAGGGACCCAGTTGTGAAGTTCTAATTCTGCTCCTTTACTTCTCTTTCCCCTGCCTTCCTCCTGCATCCCTGCAGCTCCTTTCTGCTGGTCCCATTCTAAGCACCCACATCTGCTCCATCCCAGCTACCTAACATGGGGGCTGAGATGTGCTCCTGGGTTCATCACCACGAAAAGCTTCACTCTCGGATCCTAAGGATGCATTTAAAAGGGGCCTTCTCAGGGAGGACTTAATGGTCATAACGGTGACAAATAAGGCACAGAGAGAGCCAAGGTGCAGTGGGCCTTCGGGTTTCTGTTCAGTCACACCACAGAGGCAGCCATCTGCTGGGTTAGGGCTGGGCCTGGTGTACAAAGGTAGGTCAGCTCTCACTGGTGAGACTACCTTCTCTCTCCCCACCCCTGCCTCGGATATCTCAGGGGAGTAAGAAGAGACTCATATCCTGCTGCTTGCCCGTGGCCAGAATGGCTCCAGGTACACAGCCCAACAGAGGCCGGGGCCTGGAGCAGAGCAGGTGCCAGCCCAGCTGGGGAGCTCATTCCCCCCCGCCCCACCCACCTCTCACCTCCCCTCGGGCATTTTCTCAGTGACCCAGAGAAGGAAAAGAAGTCCTGCAGTCTCTGCGCAGACACGTGGTATTATGCGCCTTTGTGCAGCTGAACCTGCCCTGCCCCAAGACCCTGATGCTTTCCTAGGGCGGGGGTGATTCCCCCAGCCTGCAGCAACTGGAACATGTTCTGGAATTCATCTGGATTGCCAGGGGCCATGAGAGGAGGTGGACAGGGACACTGACCAAAGGTCCCAAAGCGATACAGTCCAGCTTACCTGATGCCAGAGAGTGAGATGTTATGGTGACAGAAGCCAGCTTTAGGACTGTCATCCTATTGGTTGGTTATCACTACTGTTATCTGATTTACATATTTCCATAAGTATTTATTGCACTAGATCCCTCTGGCCTTAAGTCAATGATGTAATGGGAAAAAGGACCCACAGATGAAACCCTGCCTGTGGATGCAGAGCGTTAGATGGTAGACTCCCCAGCCATCAGCTGGATGGAGGTGGGTGTCCCCGCAGAAGTCTGCCTATTGGTCCTCCTTGGCCTGATTTCTTCGACTGCAGAATCAAAAGAGCACTGCTGACTCCAGGGCTGCTCCCCTAGGATGTTGTAAAAGTGAACAAGTTATTGATGGCAGGGAACTGGCCGTCTCTGAGTGGAAAGGGTAATAAATCAAACATTCCATTATGTCTGTTTCCAATTTCTCCTTTCAGTGAATGTTTGCTCATCGTCTACAGCATGTAGCAGCATGCCCCTGCTCTAGTAATGCTAATCTTCTGTGTGTCATAGGTTAAGAGCATAAACTCGGGATCCAGTCTGCTTAGATTTTAATCCCGGCTCTCTACTTCCCAGCTGGGTGACCCTGGGTAAGTTACTTCACTTCTCTGTGCTTCAATTTCCTCATCTGTTAAGTGAAGATAATAATAGTACTTACCTCACAGGGTTGTTATAGAGAATAAATGTGTTAATATATATAAATGGCTTAAAATCGTGCCAAGCACATGATAAGTGCTCAACAAATTTTCACTACGAAGATGATTAATACATAGCACTTTCACATAATGAGTTCACAGAAGCTTATTTATGTTTGGCACCTAAACTCTAACACAGTGTTTTTCTAACTTGTCTGGTGTTTAAAAAACAAAAATACCCAAGGTACTTGTGAAAAATAGAGGTTCCAGGCCACTGCCCTGAAGATTCTGATGCAGCAGGTCCGGAAGGGATCCGAGAAGCAGTATATTTAACAAATGGCCCAGGTGATCCTAATGAAGAGTTTAGGGACTCAGCTGCTACAATGGGGCTAAGAGGCAAAACCTGGCCTCTTCTGGGCTTCCCTGTACTCCCTCTGCCAGTTAATCTGAAACGCCAGGGAGGGGAAGGCTCTTTCACTTTGGAGCTTTGGGAAAGCTCACATTGTCTCCCCCATCCCATTTCAGCAAGAGAGGCTTCCTAGAAGAGGTGGAGGGATTTCCAGGACTGGAACAAAGGGAGAGACCTTGACTCACAGGCAAGAAGACGGTGAGTTATTGTAAGACTGGGGACGCAGGAGAAGATGTGGCCATGGCAGGGTGGGCCAGGGGTGCCTAGAGGCACCCGAGTTTGGCACTTCTTTGAGAAATACACGTGTTTAGAGTCCTGAGCTTCACGGCATCTGGTCAGTCTCTCTAGGCATCTGTTCTTCCCTACACCCAGGATAAAATCCTGAGGTCCCTGTAAACTACAGGCCCATTTTCCCAGAAATTCAGACCCTGTTCTTGAATCAGGTGTTCATTGATTGAACCACATCTCCTAAGCATTCACCAGGCATTGGGAACACAAAATTGTGTGAGTCTAGACCAAGAGCTTCTCTCGGAGTGTGATTCAGACCGCTCTCCATGGAGAAGCTCGGAAGCTTGGTGTCCCGTGGGAAGGACATGTGAGAAGCGATTAGCAATGCCAAGTGACAAGTGTGTGCTAGTGGTCCACCACCGCTGCCATGGGAGCTCTGAGGAGAGGCAAACTCTTCTGGGGAGGTGAGTGTTGCAGTCTTGGAAGACTCCTCAGAGGAGTTGAGCCAGTTCTTGAAGGATGAGAAAGTGCAGTCAGACTGCCAGAGTAAGAAGAGGTATTCTTTTTTTTATAAATTTATTTATCCATCTGTTTTTGGCTGTGTTGGGTCTTCCTTGCTGCATGCCGGCTTTCTCTAGTTGCAGCGAGCAGGGGCTACTCTTCGTTGCTGTGCACGGGCTTCTCATTGCAGTGGCTTGTCTTGTGGTGGAGCACGGGCTCCAGGCACGCAGGCTTCAGTAGCTGTGGCACGCGGGCTCTGTAGTTGTGGCTCGCGGGCTCTAGAGCACAGGCTCAGTAGTTGTGGCGCATGGGCTTAGTTGCTCCGCGACATGTGGGATCTTCCCGGACCAGGGCACGAACCTGTGTCCCCTGTACTGGCAGGCAGATTCTTAACCACTGCGCCACCAGGGAAGTCCCAGAAGAGGTATTCTAATTTTTTTTTAAATTAGAGGAAAGACAGCAAGGTGTAAAAGGGCACAGATGTGGCTGGAATGCAAAGGCTGAGGAAGGGGGTGGGAAAGTAGGTTGGTCTGGCTCCCTGAGATCCCTGGGTTCCATGCAAGGCATCCCTCCCTCCCCATGGGGAGAGCAGCAGGGATGAGAAAGCCCCAGGATGATGTCCATCCCCAGCAATGTTCTTCACTTCCACGGAAAATCCAGCCCCTCACTCATCGAGGAACAGGAAGCAGCACTCACTGTAACTGAACCTTCTTCCGGGACTTGCTTTACCCACAATCAAATCCTGGCCCAGTCTCTGCCTGAGGCCAAATTAGGCCCTGGTGTTATGTGCTAGCCAAGTCTCCTCTTGTGAAGGGGGTGTGGCTTCGTGGTCATTTTGTAACTTCCCGAATGCGTCTTTGAAGCTTTGGAACAAGCCAGGACCTATCTGTGCCCTCAGATCTCAATGAAGGAGAGGGTATAGTTAGAGCCGTTATCCCCGGAGTGTGCTGGGCAGGAGGTGGTGGGGGGTGGGAGGGGCGGGCTTTAGGATGGGCCCTTGTTCCTGCCCAGATGCCCCTCCCACCTGTCATGATGCTATAAATTCTTACCATCTGAGTCACAATTACAATCCTGTAGAAGTGGGTAAGGCTGTGTCACCTTGGGTTGGTAAGTCACAGGTGTTTATTGGTGCTCCTTCCACACTTCTCTATCTTTGCACCTGTCACCTCTGTTTAGACAACTGCCACATTTGTCTGATGAGCAGGCCTATTAGCTGTGCCTGGTGTTTTCGATGGCCAGCAGGACATTTATGGCTGAGAGCAGTGTATCCTTGTTGTTAAGGACAAGGACTCCAGAGTCCGTCTGAGTTTGGAACCAGTTCCACCTCCTATGTCACCTTAACTTTTCTTTGCCTCAATTCTTCTATCTGTAAAATGGGAATAGGAAAGTACCTACCTCCTTGGGCTGTGGGGAAAAGAAAACGAGCTCATACACATAAATTTCTCCAACAGTGCCTGGCACACGGTAAGCACACAATAAAAATTAGCTGTAAGTATTATCTCCTTTCAGAAGTCCTGCTCTCACTTCAAACTCATATGTCAAAATGGAGACCTGAGTTCTTAGTTCTGGCCTGGTCCCTCCGTTAAAAAGCTCTAGAGGCTCTTATATAACAGGCAAAGAAATGAAGCCCAGGGTGATGAAGCGACTTGCTCAGGGTCACACAGAAAGCCAAAGGGAAAGCTGGTGCTTCAGACTCATGGCCACTTCCCACGAGCCTGCTTGCACCAGCCCGGTGACCCCACAGGAAGCTTCGGGCACTGCAGAGAGCCCTTGAAGAACAATTTAGACTTAGTGCCACAATCACCTGGGCCACTTTTTGAAAATGCACATTCCTGTGGTCCCCTATTGAATTCTGATCCAGTAAGTCTAGGATGGGGCCCCAGATTAGCATTTTAAAAAGCACACCTTCTTCCCTTCCCCCAACCAGGCAATTCTGATTCAGCTGGTCTGCACTTTGAAAAATGCCTCTCAAAAGCCAGTCTCCCTCACGTGCTGCCACTGGAGATGAAATCCCAAGCAGGGCCCAGTAAGGCCCTCTGGCCAGCCCCAGGCTGCACCAGTGCAGTTACTAGGCATGCCTGTGATCCCTCAGAGGTATTTCAGGAATTTGGTCACATTCTTTCACGCTCTCATCCTGAAAAGGAACTGCCAGTCCTTCAGACAAAGATGCACCTGTACCCCTGCAAAATCAGTGGGGCATTCAACACCAAGATTATCATTCCACTGAGCATTGTTTACTGTAATCGGACGCTGGGAGCTAGGGGGCTTGTGGGTAATCTGATTCATGGCACCTCCCTCCTCCATGGGTGACCTCATCAAAGGCTCACTGCATGCAATACTGCCTCAGAAGCTTCCGTCCTAACTTTCCTTACAACACTGACTGTGTGGCCCTTCTTACCAGAGGGAGGAAATCAAATACTCAAAGAAAGAACAGATACTCAAAGAGCAGTGTTTTGAGATAGTGGCAAGAAGGACAGTACTTTATATCTGCTTATTAAGGGACTCTGGCTGTGGACAACCATCCACTAGGAAAAGAGAAAGCATTCCCAAACTAAGTGGTCAATTCTGAGATATTTTTAAAAACGTTGACAGGAGTCATCTAGCTTATGGAAGATTTCATTTTGGAGGGTTTTAAGAGCTGTTTCTTCTCAGCCTTTGACTTTCTCTTGCTCAGAACTTGTACCCGGGCCTGTGTTCATTTATTTCCATTTCTGAGTTATCACTGGGACACAGAGATAACAAGGTCTGCTGATCAGAATACAGCTGTGAGGACTAAGAAAGACCATAATAACTGTCCTGCAGCAATCTGAGGTTGGCCTTTCTCAGCAGTGTGGCCCGCAGGGGCAAGTGCATAACCTTCAGGATCACCCAGAATGGGTTCCAGTCCCAGATCTGCTGGTCTCTGGCTGTGGGGCCTTGGACGGGTTACTTAATTCTGAGTCTCCATTTTCCTGTCTGTAAAATGTGGATACTTATATTGAACTTATAGGGCTTTTGTGCTGATCAAAGGACACAGTGAATGTCTAGCATGATGCCCATCACAGGACAGCCAATATATAGTTGTTATTCTTTTGTTCCCTATTTTCTTCTTGGTAACAGTGATTGTGATTGTGCCATTGTTCAACTAAAGAGAAAAGGAATCATTCTGAAGCTAGAAGAAAGGGAATGAAATAAAGCATATTTAACCCATCCAGTGGAAGACAATAAAGCAAAAAAGAGAGAGAGAGAGAGAAGGAAAGACACAAGTAACTAGAAAACAAAAAGTGGTAGAAGTTAGTTAAAATATATCAGTAAACAAAACAAATATAAACAGATTAAACTCATCTGCTAAAGAACAAATTTTCAGATTGGATTTACTTTTTTTTCCATTCACTCATTCAAGCAATAATTATCTACTATGTTCTAGGCAGTGGTCAAAGCACTGGAATCTAGCTAAAAGCTATTCACAAAATATACATGTAAAGACAAAGAAAGAAGACAGTTGAAAGCAAAAGATTAGCAAAAAATACACCAGGTAAGTATTAACTAAAAGAAAGTTGATTTAGCAATATTAATTCAAAACAAAATAGACCTTAAGACAGAAACTTGGCAATAAAGAAGGTCTTGATAAAGGGAACAGTTCACCCAAAAAATATAACTATCTTGAACCTATACTCATAACATAGCCTCAAAATACATAAAGCAAAAACTGACAACATTATAAGGAAATACTGACAATCCACATCACAGTAGTAGACTTTAATCACTTCTCTCAGAAAGTGTTCCAACAAACAAAAATTAGGAAGGATATAGAAGATTTGAACTACAGGTTAAATTTATGACCCTTGCATCTCATAAATAAAGAATAAATAGCTTTTCAAGTAAAACTTATAGGAATTAATCAGTACCATATGCCACAAAGGCACTAAAGAATTGATAATATACAATTAATTCTCTGCGCAGTACAATAAAATTATAAGTCAGTAACCAACACCTTTCCACACAGAACCCACGTGTTAAGAAAATTCCTAAGTAGATTTCTAAATAATTAATGGGTCAAAGGAAGAATGATCATGGAAATTTTAAAATATTTTATAACTGAATAACAGCAAAGTATTACATAGCAAAGAGCAACATAAATTCCATTACCACCCCACGGGCATCTCCATAGCACAGCGATATGCCAAGATCTTGGGGCTCAGACAGCAGACGGAAGCCTTGAAAACTAGAGCAGGTGGAGTTACAGTAGTGCTAGAGAAGACTATTTCTCAAATACCTTTTTTTTTAAAATTGAAGTATAGTTGATTTACAATATTGTGTTAGTTTCAGGTGTATAGCACAGTGATTTAGTTATACGTACATATATATCTCTATCCTTTTTAAGATTCTTTTCCCTTATAGGTTATTACAAAATATCGAGTAGAGTCCCCTGTGCTATATAGTAGATCTTGTTGGTTATCTATTTCTATCTAATAGTGTGTACATGTTACTCTCACATACCTTTTATTCCTCCCTGCTTTCTCTTACACTGTTGCCTCTGTCTGGAACGCCATCCGCCCCTGCATACCCTCCAACTGCCTATGCACCCTGACCCTCATCTGGTGAACTTCTTTTCGTACGTTAAGAACCAGTTCAATCGTCATTGACTCAGCTAACGCTTGGCTCCCACAGCATCTCTTTTCAGGAGCACTTTTTGATCACAAGTGCTGTACGGTGTACATGTTTCTTCTTTTCAATAGCTATAAACTCTAAAGAGTAGGGGCTACATCCTAGTCTTCTTCACCTGCCTAGAGCCACACACAGTAGGCACTCGGTAAGTTTTTGTTGAAAGACCATTGGGATTTTCATCTCCACCCTATGTCTTTAATTACCTGGAGCATTTCAGACTGTGGTCTGCCTACCGTGGCTGGAGGGAAGCCCTCCACTCTGGTTTCCAGAGCTGTACCACAGAAGCGCCCACCATTTCTGTGTCGGGAAGAGCCAGAGAGCCACATTCCTACCAGGTCATGGCCCCCACTGAAACCACAGTTAAAATGCAATGCCACCCTGAAGGAGGACGCTTTAAGTCAGAGCCCAGTATTTTTAGCAGATTTCATTTCACAATCTGCCCCCAGAAGTCTGCAAATTTGGACTTTGGGCCCAAACCCTGGCTAGAAATTGACATTTACCTGCTTTTACAGAAAGAAGTAAGATTTCACTCTAGGCAAGGAAAAACCTCAATAAAGACTGCATTTACCTTCCTGGGGAGCCATTTGCCTGATGTGAACTGAATCCTAAAATGCAAATTCTTTCTTGGGGAATGAGTATGGCAGCTGATGTTGCAACATTGCTCAGAGCAATTTGAAAACAATTCTGTTATTATTACTATCATTATCATTATTTCAACCTAGCCATTAAGTTAATATGGTTAAGTCAGCATTTTCAGCAAATTGTTATGGCATGAAGGAGTGTGTGTGTGTGTGTGTGTGTGTGTCTGTGTTTGGGATTACAGCTGTCATCATCATTTCTATTCTGCTTTAGGGGTTAAATATTTAACCACAAGTATGTGCTGCAGGCTGAAACCTGATGAGTGAGGGGGAGCCAGGGAGAAAGGGGGGCTCCTAACCATACTTCTTATTAATATGAAGGTAATAAACATGATTGTTTAATAGAGTACGTGTAAGCTGGCCTATGAGGCCACAATAGATCACGTGTGTACACATCAGCATCTCAGCACCTCCCATGGATCCTGGCATTCTCCACGTCTGAGCACTGTGGCAGCCCAGAGGAGGCTAAAGTGAACTTGACTTGAGCAAGTGGGAGCAGCGCTTGTGGTGTGTATCCCCCAGAGGCCACTGCCTGATTTATTAGCACACCTACAATTACCCAACGCTTCAACAGACCTGCAAAGCAAGCGGTGAGGGGGGTGGCGAATAGCATTAGATCCCTTCCATGGAGTCAGGGCAGCAGCATTGAAAAAGTTGGAGTGTTGGAGTCAGCCAGACCTGAATGTGAGTCCTAGCTGTGTGACCCTGCGGAGATTACTTAACCTCTCTGAATCTGTCTTCTCATCCACACAATAGTGGCTATAACCCTCTCTCTTAGGGTGGTTATGAAGATTAAAAGGGATAAAACTTATATCACATTTACTTTCTGCACATGCACTGTAGGCACTCACTAAAGAGCAGCTACTTGGTTGTTACGGTTATTCTGTTCTCATTAGTTCATGTCATCTCAATGCCTATTTTCTAGCCCAGTGCCTACCTCAGGGCTCCCATGGTACTTGTTGACCAGGGCCATTCAGAACCTTGATGGCCAAGAGGACTGTCCTGAAGACACCCAGAAAGATGCACCCCACATCTGGGAATCTCTCCACTCTCTCCCCTGGCCCTGGGAAGTAATTTGAGATGTCCGGCTGGGCATTGCTCTTAGAGGACAATGTGTTTACAAGCACTGCTAGGGCCATGGTGTGCAGGCTGGGATGGGACCATCCGCTCAGGGACTGGGTTTGGGTCTCCCTTCCCTGGGGACTCCCTGTTGATCTGTAGTGTTCCTTGGGAGGCACTCACGTAACATGCCCCTACATGCACACACTCATACACGCACTTGTACACACGTACACAGATGTACATTCACACGCACACACACACACACACACACACACACAGACATACACTCATACACAGCGTTATGCCTCATCTTCTTTTTGGAGACTTTGGTTTGAACTGAATGTCTTGTGCCATCACTGCAATGGCAGTACCCCTGTTGAGAGCATGGACATAAAAGATACATAAAAGATAAAAGATAAGATAATAATCTTATCAGTGGTTTAATCCCCCATCCTTAAGCTTACTTTTTAAAACTTGGAAATAATAAAAAGGTAGAAAATAGAGGGGAAATATCTATAGTCCCACTCTCCACAGACCTTTGCTAACACCTAGCAATATCTCTTGCAAGTCTTTATGCATATTTTATTTTACATCGTAATGATTATCCTATGTATTTAATATCTGTGTGTATGCACTGCTTCTTTCACTTAATTTTATAGAGTAAGCATCATTTTAATAGTTGCATAATATTCTGTAAAGAAGGACACACCACGATTTATTTGTCCCAGTCATTGGAACCTTAGATTGCTGTCCAAATGTTTGCTATTATAAATGGAATTATGAAATCAAGTTTTCTTCTGCTTTGGGAGTTATTATCTCAGGAATTATTTTCTAGAAATATAAGGTTAAAGGTTATATGGCTCTTAATACATATCACCAACTGATTTCCAAAAGAGTCACATCAGTGTATAAACCCCCAAACTTTTGCTCTTGATCGTCACTGATATGATCCCCCAAGAAAAACCCCGGCATCCTTGGAGGATGCCTCATTCAGGCAGCAGGACATAGTTCCACCACTAAGTTCATCAGTCATCAAAAGGTGTTTCCAACACCACTGAGTACCGGAGATGACGTTAGGGTTCAAAGAAACAAAGTTCTTAAAGTATTAGAAAAACTATGAAATATACAAAATCCCTGTTTCCATAAGTATTATTGTTTAGGACTTGGCTAAAGTATGTATTTCAGTTTTGTAAAAAGAAGAACTACTATGTAATAAAAGTGCAGACCACACACTCTTATGATAAAAGCTGTGAAAGTGCAGCAGCAATGTCCATCCTGGTCAAATAGGCGGAGCCCAGCCATGCCCTTAGAAGGAATTAGGGACAAGGGCAGGAAAAATGAGCGAAGAAAATGGCTTTCCACACACACAGGACCACATGCTAATGAAAATTCAGAGACCCTTGGAGGGTTGGGGGTAAGGTGAGGGCAGCATTTTATGCTGTTATCAGACACTGTTACCTGAGCGGGAGGGAGGGATCTAAGAAACTGAAGGGACCGGAAGAGACCTTAGGGTCCTAGACTCCACCATGGGGGTTGAGGGTATGGGGAGGAAGGAAAAGATGAGAACAGGCAACTCAGAGGGAAATTTTGTACACTCATTTGCCAGTTTCACAACGTCACCTTGAAAACAAGCATCGTCCACCTTGAAAACAAGTTATCACCCAAGTAAAGGCAGAACTGAGTCATGTTTCCCTGGTGCTGAAATATCCAGGTGATACAACATTGTAAATCAACTATACTCCAATAAAAAATTTTTTAATAAATAAATTTTAAAAATAAAATATCCTGTTGTGTGGCAAGAGCATGAGCTTCAGATCAGCCAGACCTGTGGGCAGATCCTGGTTCTGCCACTTCCTAGCTGTACGAAGGCTCAGTTTTATAACTTTGAGTGGGGATGGTAGTGCTACTAATTTCATCGCACCACTGGGAGGACGAGAAATGATGGATGTGCCCAGCCCAGTGCCTTGCACAGAGACGGGCTTCCGTAGAGGCCAGTAGTAAGAGCTGGGGAAGGAGAGGGAGAGGAGGAGTGGGTAGTAGTGACAAGTAGTGACAGTGGGGGAGGGAAGAAGGGGGACGTGATATGGTGTTGAATAGCAGTAGTGCTGCTGGTGGTAATTACGCGCACCCCCCCAATAATTCTTGATTCTCCTCCACAGAACTCAGAGGACATCCTGCCTCACCCAGTCTTTTTCAAAAGAGTCCCAGCAAAGGAGAGGTGCCTGACTAGGGAATCCTACATACCTACCAACTTCCAAAGGGCCAAAACTGGTAAGAACTGTTGAGAACCTATGATACAACTATAGTGGGTTAAATGGTGTCCTCCCAAAACTCATGTCCACCGTGAACCTCAGAATGTTACCTTATTTGGAAATAAAGTCTTTGCAATGTAATTGGTTAAAGATCAGGATGAGATCATACTGGATTAGGATGGGCCCTAAATCCAACGACTGGTGTCCTTAGAAGAAGGAAAGAGGATACACAGAGGGAAGAAGACCATGTGAAGACAGATACAGAGATTGGAGTGACGGTACCATAAGCCAAGGAACAACCGGAATCACCAGGAGCTGAAAGAGCAAGGAAGGATTGGATTCCCTGTAGAAACTTCAGAGAGCACAGCCCTGCTGACAGCTTGACTTGGGACTTCTGGCCTCTAGAACTGTGGGAGAATAAATTCCTGTTGTTTTAAGCCACCCCAGTTTGCAGTACTTTGTTGCAGCAGCCTGAGGAAACTAGTCCACAAATCATCTCAGTTTACAGAGGAAGAAACCAAGTCCTGAAGAGAAACCAAGGTCATCACTGTTCACCCACAGAAAGGTAGCAGCTAAACAGGGGTTAGAACCCAGCCCTCAGCCCCCATCCAGGGCTCTCCCCTTAGGGAATGCCCCAAGTCTTTGGCATATGATCTCACACCTAGGTTCGGGCCAGAAGAAGGCCTATTTTGGCAGAGCCACATATCCCTGTGTGTGTATGTCCTCCCCAGAGAGCACTCAGTGAGTGGAACCCACTTTTCCCGATAATGACTGACTCCTCAGTTCTGGGTGAGAGCTCTGGCTGGTACATCATCTTGAGAGTTTGCTTGTAGCTGTCATGAGAGAGGAAATGCCAGCAAGCTCCCTCCCCCTGCTGAGAAGTTAATCCCCAGAGACCTTGCTGACTGACACATGGTGGGTGCTTCATAATAAATGAAAAATAAACTTAAATAATGTGGTAAGTACCCATTGCATCAGTGAGTGTTGCTGCATTAATATGCCCAGGTGTCCCTTTAACAGTGCACAGAGTTTTCTGTTCTCATGTGAATAATTCCTTCCATTTGTCGGGGAATGTCCTAGGAGCCAGGTACTGTGCTAAATTTCTCCATCAGGCCCCACTGGAAGCAGGTTGAACACTCATGTCACTTAATTTGAGGAGAGTTGAAGAAAGGGGCTGTTTACAAAAGTGTGGGCAGGGTCTGGAGGAGATTGCAGCGCCCCAGGGTGGGTGGTGTGGAGCCATCGCCACCCTGGGCTAAAGGGATAAGAGGTGGGAGGGGCGAGAGCTGTGAGGACAGGAGCTGTGACATGGGGTCGAGGGCCACGCCTGTGGGTGGCACCCAACAGGGAAGGAGCCAGCTTCAGCCTCCTTGTCCTGTACGGGATCCAGAGAGGCAAAGGGAAGCTTGCCTCTCCTCTCAGGTGTCAGCTGGCTTATAATTGTATCCGTTAATTTTCACAATAACCCTGTGAGGTAAGTGCTATTGCTACCAGCCTGTTTCAGAGATGAGGAAACTCAAGTGAAAAAAAGAAACCATTTCTGGTCATCGATGGGCCAGGATTTGAACCCAAATCTCTCTGACTCCACAGACTATAGAGTTCTGTTCTCGTGTATTAGGCCATAATTTGCCATGAAGTTAGCACCAGATAGATGCCATAGATGTAACTTCAAGAACACAGATGATAGTCAAGTGTCGTAAAACAATTAAGAAGTAACAAATTTTCAGTATTTATTAAATTTTGTTTTTAATAGAATGTATTTAGCTATAAGCTTATATAATTTACTCTTTAATAATGGCAATGTTTAACAACTGATTTGCAAAGTTCCTGAAGACTTAACAGTCATCTCTTGCAAGCCAGCATGGGCTATGTCCAGCACCCCTGAACAGCTAAATTTCTCTTCTGTGGCTTAAACAGTACTATCTCCCCAAATTAATTACTGTTTTGGGGAGAAGAGTATATTCATAACCTAGTAGCACTATTAGATCATCGAACCCACATGCATGCAGCTCACACTGATGGAAATGTTGAGAAGAAATCCAAAGAGAGGAATCCATATCCATTGGTGACCACAGACTACAGGACATGGAACTTCTCCTTCCTTGGTCCCTGCTGTTCCCTAGGATCTGAGGGGCCATGAGAAGGACTGGAGAGGACAGGATGGCTGAGCTAAATGGGCAATACTCTAGAATGGATGTCCCAGGGCAGGGGTATCAGAAGCAAGGACTGGAAAGGATGGATCCAGAGAGTTAGAAACTTCTAGTGGCAAGGAGGAGAGGTTTCCGAAGGAGCTGGGTGGAGATGGGAAGACCTGGACCCTTGCTAAACTGTGGGAGAAGCTCAGGGTTTGGTGAACCAGGTCAAATGCCACTGGGACCTCCGCTTGTGAGACTTTAAGTGCCTTTTCTTTAAAATTCAGGAGCAAGTCCAAATTAATAAGAAATAGGACTGTTCTTCTCCTATGTTATAATTCCAAAGTGGCCGCAACCTCTTCAGTAGAGAACTCAGCTTATGCCTTGTTCAGCCTGACATGGCTGTTTTAGGAAGCCCAGTAAGATGGAGTGGCAAAGGAACACTCATCCATTCACTGGCCTCAGAGGAGAGGGACCTGTAGCCTCTCAAGCACCCAGTGACTCAGGGTTCCAGGAGGCAGACCCGCCAATACTATGGGAGGCCCTGAGAGGACCGGCAGATAACCCACCCTTCTGCTCACCCCTGTAGATTTGAGGATGCTGCCTTCTGGAAGGAGAGGGGAGGGACCCCATGTCTGGGTGGCATCCCTGACCCCGCCTTGCACATAATACGGTCGTGGTTGCTTCAGTTGCTTGCTTCCTCCCCTAGATCCTATACTCTTGGAAGGGAAGAGAAAGTACCATCCCTAGCACAGGATCTGGTGAGCAGGTGCTCAACAAATGTTCGGGAGTGTGAACGAGACCCCAGAAGGAGCACCTTCAGTCTTCCCAGGAGAAGAAAGCTCCGAGCAGCTGGAGGCAGCAGTGAGCGAGGGAGGGACGCAGGCCCAGGAGCACCCAACAAGATGTGTAGTCGATGGACGAATGTCATGTTTGTCTCCAAACCAGCTTGAGGCACTGGGAGAAGACAGAGAAGGAGAGAATGGACCCTGGCCTTCAGGGACTTCCCCAAGGTAAGGAGCTGCGCACACCTGAGAGGAGCGAACAAATCTGGACTTGAGGTGAGTTCATGGGCTCCTCTGTGACGTGGGGTGACTCATCTAAGGTCTCGGCAGCAGGATGAGGATCCTGCCCGGGTTTCTTGCTCCTCAGCCAGTGCCGGCTGCTCCTCCCCTTTCCCGGACCCAGCAGTGGTGCTGAGGAGGGCTGGCAGGTCACCTCCAAAGGAGGAGACCTCAGACACGTGAGGCTGTTCCAGGGCTTTCCAGGGGTACTGGAGATGCCTGGTGGAGAGAAAGGAGGAAAGAGGAGAGGAGGCATCCCTGGAGGTGGAAAAACACAAGTTAAACCTGGAAAAATGCATTGAGGTGTGGATGGTACTGGGGGTTAGGTGGGAGGGAACGCGGGCCCGAGTTGGAAAGGTTTGCTCGTCCAGAGGCTGGAGTGCTAAGCATCTGGCACTTTCACAAATCAGTTTCTTCATACGTGTTGGTGTAGGAGGGAGTTAACATTCATTTGTGTCATTGTTTATTTAATGTGTATTAATCAACACCAAAACGTCAGCCCCGTGAGGGAATGCGGGGAATGCGCCTGGTTTTGCTCACCAGTGTACCCCCTCCACCTGGAGAAGGGCCAGGTACTTAGTAAGTGTTTACTGAACGAATGATCAGAAATTGGGCCAGGACTTAGTGTCCACTGAATGAATGATCAGAAATGTTCAGTTTATATGTTTGGTGTTAGATTCCAAGGCAGCTCAGGAGCCCGGGCGGCGCAGCCAGGAGGCTCCAAGCCTTTACAGCTCATCTTCTTCCAGTCTTTGGTATGCAATGGGCTACTTGTAGCACCTCACTTGAAGTCCAAGCTCCTTAACTGAAAAAAAAAAAAAAAAAAAAAGATTGAGTTTGGCAACCAGTGGAGCAAGAGGTCCCTAAGGCCCTGGGTGCTCTGTCATTCTGGGCATGGCCCAGTTCATCACCCAGAGGGCTGTGCGTGAATGGGCCAGGCCCTGGTTCTCTAGGTCAATCTGTCTCCACCACTGGTTGTACCAGGACATTTGCCCACTTTGGAGGGCACCTTTCTCTAAGTTCAGGGCCTGATCACCAAATAGGCCCTTTCCTTTCCCATTGCCTGAGGCCCCAGGAAAATGACACAGCTGAAGGCCCACTTCAGTCTCTGCAGCCCCAGTGTGCTCACCCCCTTGAGCGGGCGGATACCCTGAGCTGCTGGAGAGTCACCCCGAGCCCTGCTAGCTCCCTCTAGCTCCCCAGATTTTCCAGACCTAGACTCAGAGCAGCCAAATCAGTTGAAAAGAAAATATATATATATATCCGCCCTCCACACCCAGACTCCGTACACTTGAGCTGGGGAAGTGCCAACAAAAATAGCATGATGTCATCCCCCTACTGATCCTGTTAATCCCTTTTCTGCCGAATCTTGAGTCTTGGTTTTTATTTAAAAGTGATTTTATTGTCAGAGGCTGGTTAAAAGCCTCTGAGAGCTGTGCCAGGAAAGCTGGTGGTGTCTTTGATGTGCAGAGCAGTGCAGGGCCCTCAGCCTCTGAGGCCTGACAAGGAAAGAAATGGGATTTGCAGAAGGCTGGGAAGCTGGAGGAATGCTGTTTCGGACAGTGTGCTTTACCAATGGCATCTGGTTTTGCATTTCACGACCAATGCACCTCTGCAAGACAGCCTCTGAGAGAATTTCTCAGCCTCTGCAGGGCCTGTGAGGACCACCACAGTCCCACTCCTTCTGGACCACCGCCTTCCCTGCCCCCGTCATCACTAGGGAACACTTTCCCCTCTGTTGAGGTGCCCTGCTCCCACTCACACCCTCATCACCAAGTCTCCAAATCCCAACCTATTCTAGAAAGGCTGCCTTTGAGAGGTGAGGTGGACTTGGGCCAGGAGACATGGGTTTGAGGCTCAGCTTTGGACAAATCTAGAAAAGGCACTTCGCCTCTTTGAGCCTTAGTACCTTGTACATAAGACAGAAGTATGAATCCCTACCCTACATCGTATGTGACCACCCAAGTGTCCAAAGACAATCATGTGTCTTCAGAAGCTCTACAAACATAAGAGCCCTGTACTAAGGCCAGGCACTTTTGCAAGGAGGGTAAAGGGCAGAGGACGCCAAGAGGAGCAAGGGAGTTGGAGGTGTGTTCAAGGGAGTGAGTCCAATGAAGGACCATGGAATCTGAGACAGAAAGAAAGGGAAGTGAAGCCACTGATGGGTAGTGGGGAAGAACTGGGCCCAGTAGGCATGGGTTCAGCATGAGGTCAAAGAATTGTTACGGGGGGCTTGAGGAAGTAAGCTGGAAGGACAGGCAATGATGACCAGAGAGCGAGATACTTGGGTTTGGAATTTGGGAGGTTATGCCCTTTTGGTGATGGGAAAAGAATGGGTAGCTAAGGTACACAAGTGTTCCTGGCAATGAGGTCAAAATTGGGATCCTGGAAAAGTTAATCCTCATGCATGATTTAGGGCCCAGGAATCAGGAAGGAGTTGGGGTGGAAGGGACTCCAGGAGCCCAGGAGCCAAGGTGGTCAGTGAGCGAGTGGTTAACCAGAAGGCCCAGGGAAGCATCAGGGATGGGGAGGGGGATGAATGGTGTGAGTCTGAAGGAGCAGGGCGTTTTACAAGATGAAGGCGAGTATAGGTGTGGCCTGGGGAGCCAGGAGGATTGCAGACTTATCCTCCGACCCTGAGGAGAGCATGTGAGAATGGCAACCCCGGCCTGAGAGGACAGCCGGCAGAGAGAAGGGAGTGTCCCAGGAGAAGGGTGAGGGTACAGAGGAGTTTGCAGTCATGGAGAGGAGGTGATGAAGGGGATGGGGGAGGCAGGGCAGGCCAGCTGAGCAAATGAACAGAGCAGTGTGGGGATGGAGTCCGGGAGCCAAAGGGTACCTGAAGAGGCCTTGGCTCCTGGCCGATGAGGAGAATGGGTTTGGATAGGATGATGTCATCCATGTGATCTCTAGTAGTGGAGCTGAAGCCTTCACACAATGGCTTTGCCACAGGGTGGGTTCGGGCAGGCAGGGCTCAAGCCGGCAGTCATCTGATGGCTGCTGCCATGGACCTCAAGCATGAATGGTGGGTCTTCAGACAGCTGTTCACACAGGGCTTGAGAGGAGGGATGGTGGCCCCACAGACTGGGACTGGGCTGGTCAGATCAGGGACCAGTTGAGGTCTGAGACCCACTCCATCTCTGCCACCCTGTGATCACATAATTCACAGTTGTCCCAAGGACTGGCCCCAGCTCTCAGCATGAGGCTGCTCTGGTTGCTTGGTTCCTGATTTCAGCTGTAACAGCTTTGCAAGTGCCTTGACCACCAGATGCTGAGAAAGGAAACAGACACCTCCAGTCTACCCCAGAGGCCTGAGTGCAGCTGCCCAAAACCAGCCACAGAGGGCATCAAGAGTCTGAACTGATGGAGGAGGAGGGAGGGTACAGAAGCCCTTTGTTCTCAGGGCTAAGAACAGATTGTGGAATCAGAGACCTCAAAGCCAGAGGTGGTGTTGCTACTTCTGGTGCTAATAATGGCAGCAAACATTTACTGAGCACCTTCTACGTGGTGAGCATAATACACAGCCCAGCTCATTTATTCCTCACATCAACCTTAGGAGGGAGGTGGTATTCTTATCCTCACTTTTACAGATGAGGAAATTGAAGTCCACAGAGATGAAGGAACTAGCTAAGTGGCAGGGATTGGCCCCCTATGCCACACTGACCCAAGTTCAAAAGCCTTTCTTATCTGTGGTTAAGAAAACTACCGGTCCAGGGCTTCCCTGGTGGCGTAGTGGTTGAGAGTCCGCCTGTCGATGCAGTGGACACGGGTTCGTGCCCCGGTCCGGGAAGATCCCACATGCCGCAGAGCGGCTGGGCCCGTGAGCCATGGCTGCTGAGCCTGTGCGTCTGGAGCCTGTGCTCCGCAACAGGAGAGGCCACAACAGTGAGAGGCCTGCGTACCGCAAAAAAAAAAAAAAAAAAAAAAGAAAAAAGAAAAGAAAACTACCGGTCCACTAGGGGACATGACTCATTCAAGGACCCATAGGAGGCCAGGGGCAGAGCCAGCACTGACACCCAGGTCCTGACTGCCAACCCCCAGTTTTCTCCATCCCACCATGCAGAGACCAGTAAGAGCATCCATCTCGTTCTCTGCGTACAGGACACTTTCTACCACCCATGAGCGCCCTTATTTGGGATGAGATGTGTGGTATCCAGCCTCCGAAAGGGCCCATATGACTCTTGCGTCTAGGTGTTCACACTGTGTGTAGTCCTTCCTCGACAATAGGTAGCCAAGTGGACAAAAATGACTGTGTGCTTTCTCTTGGGGAAGTCAGCACCACATTGCAGCACCACTCAAGCAACCTGTGGAGAGGCCCACATGGGGTGGGACTGAAGCTATGTGTCAACAACCAGCACTGACTCAGCAGCCATGATACAAATGGGGAAACACCGTAGAACAGCTTCCACAGCTCAAAGAAGGCATGGGAGAAAACAGAGCTCCTGCTAGAGCAGAGCATCTCAGAGTGTGCCTTTCCATCTAGTGTGTCTCTAGTAGCCTCAAAGCTATCTGGGGGCCCAGGCCAAAAGTCTGGATGACCTGGGACCACATTGCAAGGACCACAACAGGGCTTGAAGTAGCATGCCCATCTTGGATGCTCTAGGGTCTCAGGGCAGGCCACAAAGAGTTCTATTTGCAAAGCAGATGGGACTGGAGGTATCTCTCAGTCATGCTCTGGATTAGTTCCTGGAGGACGTGTAGCAAATTCTTTACTGGAAGGATCTAGAGAATTCTCAAGGGTGGCCCTACCACCCTTGAGAATTCTAAAGAGCCACCCTTGAGAATTCTAAAGAGCAGTTATTTTTGAGAGATGGAGAAGTTCAAGTTCCAAAGACCTGTCATCAGGTGGTAGTAACTTTGCCTCTTCAAGAAACCCTGAAAGGGATTTACATGAGGAGGAAGCACAGCACGTGTCCATCATTGCTGCCCTTGTTATATAAGAGCAGTTATCATTTGTTATATCACCATTATCATTTGCTATATAAGAACAGTCATTAAACACCTACTATGTGTCAGGCACAATGCTATGTGCTAATCATCATAGCAATCTTGCAAGCTAAATGTTTCCTCATTTATGAGTGAAGGAACTCAAGTAGAGAGGTGTTAAATAACTTGTTGAAAGTTAACTTGTTGCATTACAGTGGCAGGGCTGGAATTCAAACCTAGGTCTGTCTGACTCTGAGGTCTATGTTCTACTCTGTCAGCTGTTACTACAATAACAGCAGAGATGTAGTGACTTTGGCACCAAATGACCTTCCTCTGAGTGTAACTTCTGGAGATGCAGGACCAGCCAGGATTCCCAGTTTCAAGTAACAGAAACTGAA